AATAAGTGGAAGCATGTACCATGTTCATGGATAGGAAGAATTAACATCTTTAAAATGTCCATACTACCCAAAGCAATCTATAGATTCAATCAATCCCTGTCAAGATACAAATGGTATATTTCATAGAACTAGAACAAATATTCCAAAAATTTATAAGGAACTACAAAAGACTCAGAATAGCCATAGCAATCTTGAGAAAGAAGAACAAATTGGAAGGCTCATATTACCTGATATCAGACTATACTGCAAGGCCATATTAATCAAAACAGCATGGTACAGGCATTAAAACATATATATATATAATGGTTTCAAGTCTAACATTTAATTCTTTAATCCACTTTGAGCTTATTCTTGTGTATAGTGTAAAAGGGTGAACTATTTTCATTTTTTTGCACATATCTGTCCAATTTGCCCAATACCAGTTATTGAATAGACTATTTTTACCTCATTGTATGTTCTTCCTTCCCTTGTTGAATATTAACTGACCATGAGGGTGTGGATTTATTTTTGGGCCCTCTATTCTTGTCCATTTTGTTGAGGATTTTAGCATCTATGTTCATTAGGGATATTGGCCTATAATATTCTTTCGTTGTAGTGTCATATCTTGTTTTGGAATTAAGATAATGCTGAGCTCATAAAATAAGCTTGCTAGGCTTCCCTCCTGTTGAATTTTTTGGACTAGTTTGAGAAGGATAAGTGTTAGTTCTTCTTTGAATGTTTGTTAAAATTCACCTGTGAAGCCATCCAGTCCAGGACTTTTGTTCGTTGAAAGTTTATTGGTTACTGCTTCAGTTTCACTAGTTGTAATATGTCTGTCTTAATTCTCTGATTTTTTTTCTGATTCAGTTTTGGAAGATTGTATGTTTCTAGGAATTTATCCATTTTGTCCAGACCTCCCAATTTGTTGACGTATAATTGTTCGTAATATATTCTTACAATACTTTCTATTTCTGTGGTGTCAATTGTTACTTCTCTTTTTTCTGATTTTATTTATTTGGGCCATCTCTATTTTTTCTTGATGAGTCTGAATAAAGGTTTGTCAATCTCGTTTATCTTTTCAAAGAACCAGCTTTTGGTTTCATTGATATTTTTATATTGCTCTTTTATACTGAATTTTGTTTATTTCTGTTCTTGGATCTGGACCCAATACATCTTCTTAAAAAAGTTAACTATGGTCATTCTCTCCTTCTCCCCAAAAAATACTTCCCAAAGTTACCATATTAACTAAAGAACAATGTTCAATCGTGTTAGCTTGGCTCAAAATTTTCCTCCTTCTTTCCTTTTAATATGTGGCTATCCATCTTTCAGGCTCAATTCAAGTCATTTCTCATTCAGGCAATTTTTCTCTACTTTCCCAACAAGAATGATCTTTCTCTTTAATTTCTGTAAATTAAAGTCTACATCACTCGTAGGTATTTATTTTATGCTACCTTGACTTGTTTGTTTTATATGTATGGCTTTTCACTAGCCTGATTGCAAATTTATTGAGGGCATTGCACAAAAAGCATGCTTAATAATGTATGATGATGAAGATGGTGATGATTTTTTGTTTGTTTGTTTCTGGGTATAGGATGAGGCAAAGGAAAGATTCTGGAGGTAAGGGGATGAATTAATGAGGTTTTTACACTAATAGTCCAAAAGGGTGATAAGAGCTTCAGCTGTTCCCTTGGCTCAGAGCCTCACTGTCTTACCAGAAGAACTTCAGTGAAACTAAAAAGGAGGGAAGGACTTGGGACTGCTATGGATTTATGTGGGAGATGAAGGAGAAATAGAAGTCACAGGTAACTGAACCTGAAAAACTGCAATAATGATAGTAACATTAACAAAAAAAGAGGAAATTGGGACTGGAAGCCAGATTTAGAGGGAAGATGATGAGTTTGTTTTTAGACATACTGAGTTTAGGGTAACTTGAGTAACCACGTGGACATGTTTAGCAAGCAGTGAGATACATTTCCACTCTCATTAAATTCAATTCAACAAATATTTACTGAACATCTACCATATGCCACTCACTATGCTGGCAAATAAGACACAACCCCTGCCTCCAGAGCTCATGTTTGAGCAGAAAAAAGAGACTAATAAATACCTATTATATAAGGTAATAAATGGTATAATTGACTTACATATAAAGCGTTTTAGGAATATAAATAAGAGACCAGTTGTTTTCAAAGCAGGTGAGAAATAGTTGCAGAAGTGATGATCTTTGAGCAGGGCCTGGAAAGATAGGTAAAAGTTTGTTCAATAAACAGAGAAATTACTTAAGTGAAAGGAGTGTCCTGAGCAAAGGCACAGGACATGGAGGTGTAAGAAGTGCAGGGGAACAACAAGTTGTCTGAAATAACTAAAGAGAATGGGATGGCAGAATAAAGATGGATGGTGCAAAAGAGGTAACAGTGATCAGAAACTGAAGATAAGGACTTTGTTACAATCGTCTTGGGAGGAAGTATAGTGTGATGATTAAAGGTGTGGACTCCAGTTGGATATCTAGATACCATCTCTACCACTTACTAGGGATGTGGCTTGAGCAAGTCACTTTGTGCTCAGGTTTCCTCATCTGTAAAATGAGATTAATGGTATTTACCTCATCAAGTTGCTTTGGTGACTAAGAGAACTAGTACAGTTGTATCTGTAGGGGATAGATTCCAGGACCCTTCACAGATACCAAAATCTGTGAATACTCAAGACTCTTATATAAAATGGCATAGTATTGGCATATAACTTACATACATCCTCCTCTATACTTTAAATGATCTATCAATTATTTATAATACCTAATACAATGTAAATGCTATGTAAATAGTTATTATACTGTATTGGTTAGGGAACGATGACAAGAAAAAAGTCTGTACATGTTCAGTACAGACGCAACTGTCATAGGCCTAACTACATAGTAAACATCAGCAACAATGTAACATTTTTAAAAATATGCTTTTATTGATTTCAGAGAGAGGGAGAGGGAGAGAGAGATAGAAACATGATGAGAGAGAAACATTGATTGGCTACCTCCTGCACTCCCCCTACTGGTGACCAAGCCTGCAACCCTGGCATATGCCCTGACCGGAAATTGAACAGGCAACCTCCTGGTGCATGGGAGGACACTCAGCCAACTGAGCCACACCAGCTGGGCTACATCATAACATTTTCCCCCTTGAATATTTTCAATTTGTGTTTGGTTGAATTCAAGGGTGCAGGACTGGCAGATATGCAAGGCCAACTGTATATGTAAACTGATTAGGACAGTACCTGGCATTTAGTGAGTGTTATGTAAAGGTTAGACCAATGCCTAAATTATAAGAAACAAGACGCTAAACAGTTGTATACTACACCATCAGCAGCCTCAAAAAGAAACTATAAATAAGAATGGTTTAAGTCTCCAGATACTCTAAGCACGGATCCAGGGAACACTAGATGAATCTCTTATTATCAAATGAGTAGGAGTTCTTTGAGAGGGTGAGGTTATTTCCTTGGAAAGGTAGATCCAATTTAGGGCAAGGATGAGGAGTCAGAAAAAAATTAGAATGGCCAGAGTGGGACTGTTCATTCAGAATAAATGGAAGCTCTCATTTTAGCATTCCCCCTGGAAAATGGAAATAAAACAAAATAAGGTTGAAATTCAGCAAGCATATTTTATTTCAGTTAAGAAAGAAACAGAAAATTGGCCAATTGGGGACCTTAGAGGATGAGAGAGGAGGCAGCATAGTCCAAAGACAGGTATTTTTCTAGGCTTGGAATATATAAAGGAATTCTCTGAAGAGAGCTAGCAATTAGAAATGCAGCCCTACCTTGGTAATAAAGCACATCTGGCCCTTTGAGATTTGATGCTCAAGTAACCCATTGTCTGTTCCCTAGCCTTCTAGAGCTCTGCTTGAGTGATCCTTGAATAGACTCTTGGAATGATTGTGCTTCCCTGTGTGACTGCTCTGTGTGCTGCTGAAATGGAACTGAACCTCGTCCACCCTCCCAGCCAGCCCAAGGGTCTCACTTGACAGAGCTCGGTTTGAATTCTGGTTTTACCACTTATTAGCTATGTGATCTTGAGCAAGTCACTAAAAGTCTCTGTGTCTCAGTTTCCCCATCTGCAAAATGCAGATAAAAATGGCTCTATATTATAAAGTGTTTGTGATAGTTACATGAAATAATTTATCTATAAACTAATTGGTACATTAAATGTTTAAAAGATGTAAGTTGATTTCCCCTTCCTTCCCCTTTACCCCTGGGCTGCCCAAAGATCCCCTGCTCTCATTTAACCCTTCTGGGAGATTCCTACCATCTAATGTTAGTAGTAGTGGAAATGGAAAGAAGGAAAAATAAGTACATGGAAAAATAATAAACAATGATGGCTTTTTTCCCCAATCCCACTCTGATTTTTCAGTGGAGATACTTTGATGTAGCAAGCATCCCATAATCAGAAAGGTATTCAGATACTGGACAGCTCAAGGTGAGAAATATCTACTAAGACATGATGACAACTATGTGAAAATATACCTACACACACATGTATTTAATTTGAAGATATAGCTGCACATTCATATATTTTAAAATTAGAAGGGAATAAGGAAAACTGAAAACATTTTTGTTAGGATGGTAGAAATATGTTGTTGTAATAGTATCTTAATATTATTGCACCTGTGAAGAGGGATACTCTTTCCATGACATACTTAAATCTCCTTACCCTCTTTCCAAAAGAACAGCAGGAGGACAGGGTGCTGGAGTAAAGGGAATTGCACAGTGGGAATAACATGCCCCCATCTCATCTGTCCTTCTGCCCAGCCTTCCATTAATCATCATGATCTACCAGAGGCCAGAGAGTTTCCTGTCTGTGGTGCTTCAATGCCCTTGCATCATTAATATCATCATCTCTACCCTTCTTCTAGGAGTGGATCTTATGAGGGAGGTATGGAAGAAGTTGTGCATGTTTAGCTGTCAGTCTGAACCTTTCAGAGAGCCAGCAGGGGACAAAGGCAGCCATCACTGTGTAATATTCTGGACTTTCTTGGCAGGTGAATACTGCTATGCATGAGGCAAAGCTTATGGAAGAATGTGACGAGTTGGTAGAGATCATCCAGCAGAGGAAGCAAATGATTGCTGTCAAAATCAAAGAGACAAAGGTAAAGCACAGCGCTTCAGTGAGGCAAAGGCAGAATTGACCTTACAAATGTCAAGGTGTCATCCTGAAGATTCCAGTTTGAATTTGGATCATGAAAGCAAGAAGAAATGAGGTTTTAGGGAGGGAAGCAAAGAAGCAATGTTTGGCTTAGTGATCTGAATCCCATAAAAATGCTGGCAGTTCTGGGGTATTGGGAACATTCTTTATCTTGACTTGGTTTCTGGTAACATGGGTGTATGTATATGCAAAAAATCATTGAGTTGCACACTTCACATTTGGGTGCTTTGCTGTATGTATGTTATAAGTCAATACAAAAAGAAAAAATAGTGGTAGGAATGTGGGCCAGAATTATGGAAGTACCATGAATGCCAAGATAAGGACTTTGGGCTTAATTTGAAAGGCATAGATAGCTAAACTATTCTAGTTTCTTAGGAAGAGAGAAGACTGATTAATATGGCAGAGTTGTGCAGGGTATATCAGAATGGGATGATACTGAAGTCAAGGAAGCAAGTTAGGAAACTTATGGAATGATTCTTGGTATGAGTTCATGAAGACCTAACCCAGGGAAGTGGCAGCACAAGCTGAAGGGAAGAACATAACAGGCATCTTAGAAAGGAAATTATGGGAATCATCAGCTGATTAGATAGAAAAGATGAAGGACACAGAGAAGACTTCTAGGCTTTTAGCTTGGAACTGAAGAATCATGATCAAGAAAGTCAGGTATGAGCCTCCAAACATCTATATGGTTTTAGGCTTGTTGGTCTGCTGGTCAGCATAGTGATTAAAACCTCATACTGTGTATGCAATGTGAGATGTTATGAGAGCCTAGAGCGATGATCAATACTTTATGCCATACTGGGTGGTTCCAAATAACACAGGAACTGAAGTTTTTGAGAACACAGATCTGTGAACACATAGGTATGTGTAAAGATACTTAGAGAAATATATACATAGAAATGTATAGCCTCATAAAGAAAAAGGAGGTACTTTTTATTAAACATGTATGTGAAAATATATTGACAATAAAATGTAAACAATGGTGATCCCTGGGTGGCAGGGTTTCTTTTTATACTTTTTATTTTCTAAATTTTCTATGTGAATATGCATTGCTTTTATGACCAGAAAAATTAATGTTATCAATAAAAAGAAGAGGTAGATAACCTAGAGTACATGACTGTGTTGCAGGGTAAGTAAGCAGGCTGTAGGTGGGACGAGCTGGCATGACAGACATAGAAGGTAGGGTGAGAAGATGAATGGTTAGTAAAGAGACCATTGGATATTAATGTTAATTGTCCTTATTTTTAGAGTCACTGAAGCAGATCTCCTTCTTGTTGTTTTATTGTTTTTAATTAAGCACTGGATGTTTTCTCTTATTTTTCTGTTGCTAATTCCTTTAAGGTTATGAAACTGAGAAAGTTGGCACAGCAGGTTGCTAATTGCCGCCAGTGTCTTGAACGGTCAACAGTCCTCATCAACCAAGCTGAGCATATCCTGAAAGAAAATGACCAAGCACGGTTTCTTCAGTCTGCAAAAAATATCGCTGAGAGGTGAGTTCCTTATACTATTTTGACATGCCTGCTTTTATGAAAAGCAGCCATCTTAAAGTCATTTAATTCTGTTTAGGCATGTATGTAGCAGCTGTCACCTGAAGATTTTACCAGCTAGTTAGTTACTAAGCCTCAGTGATAGATTGCCCTGTGGATTCCTCGCACCTTTCTCTCTCTATAGCCTACCAGCTCTCTATTTGCAAAGAATCTGAGATCTGAAGTGAAACATTGTTCATTATAGTCACTAAGGCTTCAAGGGGTTATAGTGGTCCATTAGGCCAGATTTTATCTCCTTATATCTCCTTCTCATTCATTGAAGACTTTGGCTCCAGGTTCACAGTATTCTTTTCTATTGCTTCTGCCATTATTCATGGTGATGTTAGCAGCATCCACATGGATGACGCATCTAATACTCTAGCCATCTAGTCTCCTAGCTTCTTGCCATGCTGTCTTCAAGTGATCCTCACTTCTGCTCCATTTCACCCACCACTTCTATGGCCCACATGCTAAACTTCACCATCACTTATAATTACACTTAAATCACAAATAAAAACATTCCGCATTCTAACTACAACCTCTGTACTTAAATTTGTCTGATTTTCTTCCAGTACATCTATTCTTCAACTTCATTGGGACCTCTAAGTTCTGACTCCAACCTACCAGCTACATACTGTCTTCACAACTGCCTTCACTTCTTTCTTTGGCCTATTTAGGATCTGTGATTTCTCACATTAGCTACTCTCTTTAATATCCCCAGTTCCCTAGCCCCACTGTCTTCTTATCACACCAGCCTGATAATAGTCCAACCCAGCTATTCCCACCTTTTCCATGACTGTATTTGAGATGCAAAATCCTGCTGGAGAAAATCATATAACCAAAGAGATTGGTAGGTGCTACTACACCACAAATTCATGGCCTCTATTCTCACCTGAGCCCTCAGTACTGACCTGAAATCCTTCTGTGTTGCTTTGGTCAGCTGTCTTTTCCCTTGTTTCCATAATGGCTATTTCAAATTTTCTGTGCTCATCTCAAAATTCCAACCCTGCCATCTTCCTGCTCATGCTCAGCAAATGACTTTACCTCCTATTTTACAGAGAGAGTGGTATGTATGAAATGATAAATTCCTCAACATCTCATACCATACTGCAGGGCATACCTACAACCACATCTATCACTTTCATCTTCCTTCTGGTTATAATGGAAGGGATTTCCCTTCATTTGTGCTTTGGTCACATGCCTCCTTTTTTTTTACTTCAATTTCATCACCACTCTAGTAGACCTCACATATACTTTTAAACTCATTCTTGTCTCTCCTATCAAAAAAGTAATAATACCCACAACCCTCCTCCACCTCCAGTTCCTGTAGATATTGCCCTATCCCTATCCTTTCCTTCACAGTAAATGTCTTGAAATATTTTCCATTTCCTCACTTCTAATTTGTTCTTAGACATTTAAAAGTTATTTATATTAAAGAAATACTTGTATAGTTAAATAAGTCAAATATTACTAATAGTCATATTGTAAGAAATAACAGTCTCCTCCTCACCCAATTTCTGATCTCCATCAATTATAATACTGAGCATTTACTTGTTGCTGGGCATTATTCTAATTCTTTGTAAGTAAACTGAACCCACAGAAACCTTTATGAGATAGACCCTATTATTATCCCTATTTTTAAAATGAAGTTGCGTGACTTCCCTAAGGTCACCCAACTAGTAAGGGGTAGAAATAAGATTCAAACCCAGGAATTCTAATGCCATAGTCTATACTTTTAAAACAAAACCAAGTAATTTTAGCTCTATTACCTCTTTCTATTGGTTCTAAATAATATCTTTATACTGCAATTTTTATTCGGTTTTGTTAATTTGAGAGGGAGAAACATTGATGTGAGAGAGACACATCAATTAGTTGCCTCCCGCACATGCCCCGACTAGGGCTGTGGATCAAGCCTGCAACCAAGAGGTATGTCCCCTTGGCCGGAATTGAATCTGGGACACTTCAGTCCGAGGGCCGACACTTTAATCACTGAGCAAAACCAGCTAGGGAAATTTAAATTTTTTATTGAATATATTAGGGTGACATTGGTTAATAAATTTATATAGGTTTCAGGTGTACAATCCTATAATATATCAACTGTATATTGTATTGTGTGTTCACCACCCCAAGACAAGTCAGTCTCCTTCCATCACTGTGTATCCTCCTTATACTCTCTTCGACCTCCACCCACCCCCCTTCCCCTCTGGTAATCACCATGCTGTTTTCTGTGTCTATGACTTTATTTATTGCTTAATCTCTTTACCTTTTTCACCTAGCCACCCAACCCCCCTTTCCTCTGATAGCTGTCAGTCCATTCTCTATCTATGAATCTGTTTCTATTTTGTTTGTTAGTTTATTTTCTTCATTCGATTCCACATATAAATGAAATCATATGGTATTTGTCTTTCTCTGACTGGCTAATTTCATTTAGCATAATGCTTTCCAGGTCCATCCATGCTGTTCCAAAAGGTAAGATTTCCTTCTTTTTCACTGCTGAGTAGTATTTCATTGTGAAAATGTACCACATATTTTTTACCTACTCATCTAATGATGGACACTTGGGCCACTTAAAAATCATGGCTATTGTAAATAGCACTGCAATGAATATAGGGGTGCATGTATTCTTTCAAATGAGTGTTTTGGGTTTCTTTGTATATACTCCCAGGAGTAGAATCATTGGATCATAAGGCAATTCCATTTTTAATTTTTTGAGGAAACTCCATACTGTTTTCCACAGTGGCTGTACCAATCTGCATTCTCACCAAGAGTGCACAAAGGTTCCCTTTTCTCCACATCCTGGCGAGCACTTGTTCTTTGTTGATTTATTGATGATAGCCATTCTGACAGGTGTGAAATGATATCTCATTGTGGTTTAATTTATATCTCTCTGATGATTAGTGATGTTGAGCATCTTTTCACATGTCTATTGGCCATCTGTATGTCCTCTTTGGAGAAGGGTCTATTTAGGTCCTTTCCCATTTTTTAATTGGGTTGTCTGTCTTCTTGGTGTTGAGTTGTATAAGTTCTTTATATATATTTTAGATACTAAGCCCTTATCAGCCGTATCATTGGCAAATATGTTCTCCCATTCAGTGGGTTCCTGTTTCATTTGTTGATGGTTTCTTTTTTTGTGCAAAAGCTTTTTAGTTCGATGTAGTCCCATTTGTTTATTTTTACATTTGTTTCCCTTGCCCAAGGATATATATCAGCAAAAATACTGTTACAAAATATGTCTGAAATTTTACTGCCTATGTTTTCTTCTAGGATTTTTATGGTTTAACAACTTACATTTAAATCTTTAATCTATTTTGAGTTTATTCTTGTATATGATGCCAGAAGGCAGTCTACTTTCATTTTCTGCATGTACCTGTCCAATTTTCCCAGCCTCACTTATTGAAGAGACTGTCTTCACCCCATTGTATGTTCCTGCCTCCTTTGTCAAATATTAATTGACCATAAAAGTGTGGGTTTATTTCTGGGCTCTCCATTCTGTTCCATTGAGCAATATGCCTGACTTTGTGCCAATACCATGCTGTTTTGATTACTATGGCCTTATAGTGTAGTTTGACATTATGTAGTGTGATATCTCCAACTTTGTTTTTCTTTCTCAAGATTGCTGTGTTTATTTGAGGTCTTTTGTGGTTCCATATAAGTTTTTGGAATATTTGTTCTAGTTCTGTGAGATGTGCCATTGATATTTCAGTAGGAATTGCCTTGAATCTACAGATTGCTTTGGGTAGTGTGGACATTTTAATGATGTTAATTTTTCCTATCCATGAACACAGTATATGCTTCCGCTTATTTTTATCTTCCCCAATTTTTTTCTTCAGTCTCTTATAATTTTCCAAGTACAGGTCTTTTACCTCATTGGTTGAATTTATTCCTAGGTACCTTATATATATTTTTTTTGGTTGCAATAGTAAATGGGATTGTTTTCTTAGTTTTCCTTTCTGATATTTCATTATTGATGTATAAAACTGCCACTGCTTTGTGAATATTAATGGTGTATCCTGCTACTTTGCCTAATTCATTTATTAAATCTAGTAGATTTTTGATGGAGTCTTTATGGTTTTCTACATACAATATCATGTCATCTGCAAATAATGACAACTTTACTTTCTCCTTTCCAATTTGGATGCTTTTTATATCTTCTTCTGGTCTGATCACTGTTGCTAGGACTTCCAGTAATATGTTGAATAAGATCCGTTTCTTTGAAAAGATAAACAAAATTGACAGACCTTTAACCAGACTTATCAAGAAGAGAGAGAACCCAAATAAATAAAATCAGAAATGAAAGAGAAGTAACAACCGACACCACAAGGCTTCTCCTGTGAAGCCCTGTCTTGTTCCTGATATTAGGGGAAATACTTTTAGTTTTTGCCCATTGAGTATGTTGTTGGCTGTGTGTTTGTCATATATGGCCTTTATTATGTTGAGGTATGATCCCTCTATTTGCACTTTTCTGAGAGTTTTTATCATAAATGGGTGCTGGATTTTATCAAATCAATGCTCTTTCTATATCTATTGATATGATCATGTGATTATTATCCTTCATTTTGTTTATGTGATGTATCATGTTTATTGATTTGTTAATATTGTACCAACCTTGCATCCCCAGAATAAACCCCACTTGATCATGGTGTATGATCTTTTTAATGTATTGCTGGATCTGATTTGTTAATATTTTGTTGAGGATTTTATCATCTATGTTCATCAGGGATACTGGCCTCTAATTTTCTTTCTTTGTAGTGTCTTTATCTGGTTTTGGAAGTAGGATAATGCAGGCCTCATAAAATGAGCTTGGGAGTCTTTCCTCCTGTTGAATTTTTTGGAATAGTTTAAGAAGGATAGGTGTTAGTTCTTTGAATGTGTGGTAAAATTCTCCTGTGAAGGCATCTGGTCCAGGACTTTGGTTTGCTGGAAGTTTTTTTTATTGCTGCTTTGATTTCGCTAGCTGTAAACTGTCTTCCCAGATTCTCTGATTTTTCCTGATTCAGTTATGGAAGATTGTATGTTTCTAGGAATTTATCTTTTTCATCTGGATCGTCCAATATTTGACATATGGTTATTTGTAATATTTTCTTACAATTCTTTTGTGTTTCTGTGGTGTCAGTTGTTACTTTTCCCCTTTCATTTCTGATTTTATTTAATTGGGTTCTCTTCTTTTCTTGATGAGTCTGGTTAATGGTTTCTCAATCTTGTGTATCTTTTAAAAGAAACAGATCTTGGTTTCATTGATCTTTTGTATTTTTTTTTTTTTAGCCTCTATGTCATTTATTTTGTTCTAATCTTTTTTTTCTCTAAAATATATCTTTATTGATTTCAGAGAGAGGAAGGGAGAGGGAGAGAGAGAGATAGAAACATCAATGATGAGAGAGTCATTGATAGAGCCTGCAACCCGGGCATGTGCCCCTACCGGGAATTGAACCCCAATAGCCTGCATCCTAGGTCAATGCTCAACTGCTGAGCCACGCCCGGGCGGGCTGTTCTAATCCTTGTTATTTCCTTTCTTCTACTTACCTTGGGCTTTGTTTGTTCTTTTTTTTTTTAGTTCTTTTAGGTGTAGGGTTAGATCGTTTATTTGAGATTTTTCTTGCTTCTTGAGGTTCACCTGTAATGCTATGGACTTCCATCTCAGGACAACTTTTGCTGTGTCCCAAAGATTTTGGGTTGTTGTATGTCCGTTTTCATTTGTCCCCAGGTAAATTTTGATTTCTTCCTTGACCTTATTGTTAACCCATTCATTATTTAAAGACATGTTATTTAGCCTCCATGTTTTTATAATGTGTTTCAGTTTTTTATTGTAATTGATTTTTAGTTTTATACCACTATGGTCAGAGAAGATGCTTGATATGATTTCAGTCTTCTTGAATTTATTAAGACTTATTTCACTTCCTTACATGTGGTCTATCTTTGAGAATATTCCATGTGCGCTTGAAAATAATGTATAGTATGCTGCTTTATCAATTAAATCCAACCGATCCAGTGTGTCATTTTAGGTCACTGTTGCCCTGTTGATTTTTTGTCTGGAAGATCTCTCCATTGATGTCAGTGGGATGTTAAAGTCCCCTACTATGACTGTATTGCTGTTGAACTCTCCCTTGATGTCCACCAAGATTTTCTTCATATATTTAGGTGCTCCTATGTTGGGTGCATATATGTTTACAAGAGCTATATCCTCTTGTTGGAGCGATCCCTTCAGTTACGTAGTGACCTTCTTTGTCTCTTTTATGACCTTTGTTTTGAAGTCTATTTTGTCTTATATTAATATTGCTACCCCAGCTTTTTTTAAATTTCCATTTTCTTGAAATATTTTTTTCCATCCCTTCATTTTCAGCCTATGTGTATCTTTTGTTCTGAGGTGGGTCTTCACCTGATCTTCCTCCAGAGCCATCTGAAAAAAACTGTAGGGTGGACCCAGGCTGGCTGTGACCCAAAGATCCTTCCACAGGCACACGTTCAGTAGCTGAGGCCAGCAGAGTTGGGAAGACTGGGCTAGTTGGTCCCCTTCATGGGAGCCGCATGGTCATGTACTCAATGGTGGGAAAATGGCCTACTCCAGAGCCATGCCATTTAGTCTCTTCCAGAGTCTCCAACTCTACCTCCCTCAGGAGGAGTGAGTCGCAGGTTCAGGTTTTGTGCAGCCAGCTGTCCCCTCTTCAGGAGCAAACTCAGCAGGGTGGAGCCTCTAGGGTTCCAGAGGACAGATCATATGAATCTCCCTTTGAGGTTGGTGCCAGGCAAGTCCACAGGAGGGTGCCAAGCACTTTGTCTTGGTCGCAGACAATAGCCTCCAAGGGAGACACACTCCAAATGTCCCAGCTCTGAGCAGCACGTTCTTCACCCCCTCAAGAAACTGAGCTCAGCATGGTGGAGCCACTGGGACTTGGTAGGGTAGATCCAGTCTCCTGTGGGGGGTGGTGCCAGCAAGCCTGTAGGATGGGGACGGGCATTTCTTCTCCTTCCCAGCAAGAGCCTCTTAGGCATACCTGCACCAAAGATCCCAGCTCCGAACAGGACTCCGATCCCCCCACATGACAGTTCACATAAATGGAAAAACTGTCTATCAGAAAGGCAGGTCAAATGAATCTCTCACTGGGAAATAGTACAGGCTGAGCTCACAGGGGAGATAAAATTGGCCCCCTTGTGATGTAGCCACACAACCCAGTACCCATCTGTCTGATTCTCAGACAAAAGCCTCCCTGGGAGACACACTCCAAAAGTCCCAGCTCTGCATGGCAGTCTGATCCCTCTACCCTCTATGGGACTGAGCTCTGCAGGGCAGGGCGGCAGAGTGGTAGGGTAGTCCAAGTGATTCAACAGGTGTGGGGGCAGCACCACCAGTGTGGTCGAGGTGGGGAAGAAATGTCCACTTTCCAAAGCTACACAGTTCAATCACAGTCTGAATCTCTGTCAGGAGCTTCTCCAGAAAAAGAACTCCCTGAAGTTCTCTGCTGGGTGCTGCTTGCAGACCCCTCTGCAGGACCAAAGCATGGCAGAAGGGAGTTGCCAGTAGTTGAAGGACAGGGCAGTGCACTCCCTAGGTGGCTGGTGCTGTAACAGTAGGAGTGCTCGACCCTGGGAAGGTGACATCTGGGACTCTAGCAGGCTCCTTTCTCTCCCAGGTGGAGTGAATCCCCACTGATTTTCACCACCAGATGCTATGTGAGCTCCTCTTCTCATCTCTATTGCTCCGGGTTAAGGATCCCAGTACAGGATTGAGAACCCACGCTCCTGGGGAGAGGGAATTTTACAGCCGAAATACCCTTTCTGTGTCTCAACCCTTCTTGTAAATCCTTGGTTATGTCAGTTCAGCTAGGCTTCAGTTGATTATTCAGGTTGATTGCTCTATAATTTAGCTGTAAATCTTGTTTGGCACTGGGAGCATGTAAGTGTAGCTTCCACCTGCAGCCATCATTGGAATCCATACCTGCATTTTTTTTTAAAAAGGAATTGTCTTAAATGGTTAAGGGTATACTATTGAGAAGCCAATGAATGTGGGTTCAGTTATATTTTATATCTTTTTTTTCCCTAACCCTTACTGGTTGTGTGACCTTGGGGAAGTTACTTAATCTTTCTATGTGTCAACTTTCTTATTTAAAAAATGGAAATAACATTTACTACACAGGGTTATGGTAAGGAATAAATTAGATAATGTATATAAAGTATGTGTGTATCTATGTATATACAGTGTGTATGTATGTATGTATGTATATAAAGTATGTATGTAAAAATATTAAATACTCAATAAATGTTAGTACTTGTGTTGTTGTTCTTAGTCATTCAGTTATTCAGCAATTATTTATTCACCATGTGTTCAATACTGTGTTAGGGATCATGGAAGATATGAGGTACAAAATATGAACCCTGCTCTTAAGATGCTTAGAATTAGTTGAGGAGATAAAACTAGCACAACATTATACAATTAGAGATCAATACAGTTAAATGAAAATGTTATAAAAGATCAAATAAAGTACAGTAGTTAGGGGAAGGCTTTAACTCAGCTCCAGTGTGCTGGCTTATTGATTAGCATAAAAAATACATGGGGAGAAAAAATATCTCTCAAACTGCTCTTACCAAGCCTTCAGAGGTCTAGTTTTGATGCCTCCTGCCAGATAGAAATTGATGCGGGTGGGAGGGGGAATCCTATATTTATTCTCAAAATTAAAACAAGATGGGGGAGTGTGTTTGAGAAGTAAACATATGTGAATAAATATGGTATAACCCTTAATTGGTTCCTGACGATTAGCATTTAAATGGTTTCCACTGGCAAAGCACAGCTATGATTATTTTTCACTTAATGAATCAAGCCCTACAAGTCATTTATTTTCACCTTGTTAAACCAGAAATTAAACACTAGGTAAAGATTACAAACTTATTTTGATGTATAATAACGTACTTTTTTCTTTTGCAGGGTTGCTATGGCAACTGCATCTTCTCAAGTTTTGATTCCTGACATCAATTTTAATGATGCCTTTGAAAACTTTGCTTTAGATTTTTCCAGAGAAAAGAAATTGCTGGAGGGGCTAGATTATTTAACAGGTGTGAAAATACTGTTCATTCTTTCCTATTTTAATTTTTTCTTTTGGTGTGTTTATACTTTAAAATAATCTGAAAAGGACAATATTTATAATGAAAATGCTTTTATAATCTATGAAATGATACATGTATCTTACCATATTTTAGTTCATGTAACAAAAAAGAAAGATGATTTGTCAAATATTTCTGGGGCAGAATAGGTATAAAATCCATACTTACAGATAAAAAACAAGAAGTTGCTGAAGGATTTCTCCTTATGAGCCTATCAGTAATATATTGTCACTTGTTATGGGGGTAGAACTCAGGTAGCAATTATGGAATATTAGAGAATGTCCCACATGGGTACAGTTACCACTCAAATGGTTTTAAGGAAACTTAAGAATTGGCAGATTAGGAAGAAAAATGTAAGAAATGCCTGGCTTGCAGACAATTTTAGAAAATGAGAGAATGCAACCAGCCTTTTAAAAATGCTGGCTACATTCAGGATTATTTGAATGATCATTTCATGAGAAAAATACACACACATAATAACTTTGCATTTGTGGTTATTTTTGTTAATATATTAAAATAACTGTCATTTATTGAACATCTACTTTATGCTAGACACTGTATATTAATTTTATGTCATGAGTCCTTGCAACAAATCTATGATGTAATTATCATATTTATTTTACAGATGAAGGAACACATATTATTTTGCACTTTGGTATACTGCCAAACATATATAGTAAAACTTACTTTGAAATAAAAAGTAAAAGTTGAATGTCGTGTAATAAGAAAACCGTGTGACTACTTTGGTCTAATATTACATGTGTTTGCAGAATAGACAATTGGTCATTCATTTCAATAACTTAGGCTTATATCTGCATAAAATATCTTTATCATTGAAGCAAAGGTGATTTGGGGGAACTTAAGGTCTTTGCCCTTTGCTTCAGGTTCTGTAGTATGTGAAATGTAAAGCTTCCTATTAAAATCTTACAACAAGATGTTGTGTTGGGCAGCAAGAGTAATGATTGTAAAATTCTAGAACAGAAAGTGTGCTTTCCTTACTTTCTTTTCCACCTTTTCCTACAGCCCCAAACCCACCATCTATCCGAGAAGAACTCTGTACTGCCTCCCATGACACCATTACAGTCCACTGGATCTCGGATGATGAGTTCAGCATCAGCTCCTATGAGCTTCAGTACACCATATTCACTGGCCAGGCTAACTTCATCAGTAAGTCATGGTGTAGTTGGGGCCTGTGGCCAGAGATAAGGAAATGTAAGGAAGCAGTAAGCTGCTCAAGATTGGCCGGGGCGCCACGAGGCAAGTGTTTGTAAGACGTGTTAGGTTGTTTAGAACAGTGTTTTGTAGACAGTGTAAGTTCCCCCAGGGCATTGCAAAGGGCTTACTGAAGCAAGTTGTGTATTTCTTTGCTGGGCAGTCACTGGGGCCACTCCCATTTGTTCATGTAATCCTTAGCCTTTCCTCAGTTAATCCATGTCAGTCCAATCTCCCAAGTCAGAACAGAGCTCATAATTCGTTCCTAGGTAGCTAAGCCACCATCATTGCTGATTCTATGTGTGTGAACATCTCTACCCTTGACTTCTCTTCCACTTCATTATCATAGTAAAATACATTATGTTCAAAGACTACTACTTCCTTTACCATACCCATTTGTACCAGTGACAAGCTTCCTGCCTCTGTCACTCTTCCCTTTAACCCTTCTCCCTTTCCTCCAAGAACTACACCAAATATAAAAACTTGTCAGTGGGCCACAAAATGAAAGATGTTCAAAAAGCAGTCATTTAGCTCTCCTGTTATGGTTTCACCTTCTGAAGAATTGGAGCAAGACAGGGCAGAGTAAGAACTTAACTCATTGATTGCCAGGCAGGAGGGTTAGGGTGCAAGTTCCCCTCAATGCACTGGGGGGAAATGGAAATGAAAGTAGAATTAAAGCTAGATTCAACACTAGAACTGATTCCCATCCTAAGGTTGCATGTGCATAGCTTCTAATTAGTATTTTCTTTTACCTGTGCATTTGTGCTTCTGTTTCTGACTTCACAGGCTTTCATGAGAGGAGTTTTTCCAGTGGAACCCTCCTGATAGGCTTCCTTTTCCTGAATTGTGACATTTTGGGCCACATAGTGGGGTGGAGAGGTGAGAGGACATTTGGGGTCAAGCTCTCAAAAACACTTGCCTCGTGCAGCTCCAACCTAAGCTACTTGGCCCAGGTAGCTGTGATCTTGGATGTTCCTGGGTGTTTCTTTAGTTTGTGAAGTCACAAACTCTAAGGCCTTCCTGACATGCTTTTCTGCACTTGTCTCTTTTGCTCTAGAAAGTCTTAGAGCCAGCAACTATGCTTCTTCCAGATATGGAAAGAACAGTGGTCTCCTGGAATTGAGAATAAGTCCAAAAAGTGGCAAAGATCTAAAAGCTGTCACCTTTATTTTCAAGGATATATAATCCTTTGTAAAGAAAAGCTTAAAGGATAATTCTTAATAGCAATAGGATCACAGCATCTTAGAATTCAAAGGGAGACCTTAGAAGTCTTCTATTCTAATCCTCTTTCGTTCTACCAGCCTCCTAGTAGATGATTATCTTGTCTCTGATTGAACATTTCCAGTGATGGATATCTCACTTCTAACAAAACAGCCTACTTAATTGTTGTGTAGCTGTAAATAATTGTCAATGCTTCTTTATAAAAGGTCTAACACTTTTTCCTAGTAAATAATAATGACAATAATAATTTATGTGTATATTATGTTTTGCCATTTACAAATGCTCCCACATATGTTATCTTATTTAGTCCTCATGAGTTCTTACTTAGTCTTATGAAATAGATGATATTAATTCTACTTTATAGATGAAGAAACTGAGGCTCAAAATGAATTGCCCAAGGTCACAAAGCTACAAACTGATGGAGTCAAGATTTAAACCCAAGCCTGTCAGACTTCAAGCTTAATGCTCCTTGTTTTAAACCACAGCTACCAATTTGTCCTAGGCCTGTCATTTTATGCCTCACTAACAAACCTAATCAATCTTTGACATCACAGTTCTTCAGATAACTTTAGGTGGTTATTGTGTCCCTTCTAAATTTTCTCTTTTCCAGGCTAAACATCCTCAGTTCTTTGAATTGCTTCTCACATTTCAGACCCTTTACCAACCTAGTATTCTTTTTATGGACACACTGCTATTTATCAAAATGCTTTATGAAATGTGCTGTCAAAAAAAAATGAATACACCCCAAAAGTAGTCTGACCAGTACAGGGGAAAGCTAGATTATTTCTCCGGTATATTAGCTGATGTTTCCCTGCTTGGAACCTTTTCATTTTTTTCTTTTTTTTAATGAATAGCTGCATTGATTACTGAGTGTTAGCTGAGCATATGGTCAGTTGACATCCTTAGGAATTTCAAATCCTATTCCTGTTCAGTTGATTGTCTAAATGGAAATACAACACCTTGAATTCATCCCTATTACATTTTATCTGGTTAGTTTTGATTCCTCATTTCAGCTTGCCAATATCCTTTTGAATCCAGTTTTTGCTCCCAATACATTTACTTCCCCTGCTAGCCTGCATCATGTCTTCCTCTGATCATTGATAGAAAAGTAGAATAAGACTAGGACAAGGACAGATCCTGAAGCAAACTGTTTTATGACAGTGGGCAGATAAACTAAAACTATTTTACTAGGAATAAGTATTCATGAAGATTCAAGGTTCTAGTCCTACCTGCCAGTCTGCCTGCCACTGTTGACTGAATCTTGCTTCTAAGAGCTACTATGCCTTGAGGTTTTTCCACATTTTCTCTCTTTTTAAACCACTTTATTTAGGGAGAGAATGGTATTAGAGACCAAGATCTGGAGACTAGAAATACACACATCCACCCATGTAAATATACATATAAATACACCTACAGTATATATACACATATACTTAATATATGTGCACATATGTATGCACATAAACATATATATATACACACACACACACACACACACACATATATATATATATAT